CTGTTGGGTTGAAATATACGTAACATAAAATTTACCATCTTAACCATTTTAAAATGTACAGGACAGTATTACTGTCCATCGCTAGAACTGTCTGCATCTTGTAAGACTGAAACTCTGCCCTCGTGAAACAAAAATTCCTGATTCTCCCCTCCCCCAGTCCCTGGCACCACCATATTCTTTCTATCTCTATGAATTTGACTACTCATGGTGCCTCATATAAGTGAAATCATGCAGTGATTTTGTCTTTTTGCGATGGGCTTACCTTACTTCAGTTCTTACAATGTCATCAAGAGTCTTCCATGTTGCAGCAGGTGTCAGAACTTCCTTTTTTAAGGCTAAATAATGTTCCATTGTGTGAATGGGACACATTTTGTTTATCCATTCATCCATCGATGGACACTCGGGTTGTTTCCACATATTAGCTATAGTGAAACTAGCCAACTTCTCGACTAAACCGGGTGACCTTAACCCTGCAGCTGGACTCATCCTACACTGACGTCACCCAAAGACGGACTGTCTCTGATGTCGACCCCAGGTGCAGTCAGTCTCCATCCACACTCCACTGCGCCCCATCAGACGTCTCCCCTCCCCCTCTGGACTCTTCCTTGGCAGGGGCCCTGAGCTCCATGGATACCTTCACCTGTATTTCAACTCTTGCTCTGCTCCCAAGCCTCTGCCCTCCTTTTCTTTCTTCTTTTTTTAATCTTTCTTTTTAATTTTTTTCTTTCATAGTTTATTGTCAAGTTGGTTTCCATATAACACCCAGTGCTCACCCCCACAAATGCCCTCCTCCATGCCCATCACCCCCCTTCCCCTCCCCCCCACCCCCATCAGCCCTCAGTTTGTTCTCAGCATTCAAGAGTCTCTCATGGTTTGCCTCCNCCCATCAGCCCTCAGTTTGTTCTCAGCATTCAAGAGTCTCTCATGGTTTGCCTCCCTCCCTCTCCCCAACTATTTTTCCCCTTCTCCTCCCCCATGGCCCTCTGTTAAGTTTCTCCTAATCCACCTATAAGTGAAAACATATGGTATCTGTCTTTCTCTGCCTAACTTACTTCACTCAGCATAACACCCTCGAGTTCCATCCACGTTGCTACAAATAGGCCTCTGCTCCCCTAACCCCTCCCTGTAGACCACCGCCCTCTTGGGAGGCACTCCCCAGCGTGTGAGGGGAGCATTCCCCAGCGTGTGGGTGAGCCTCATGACAGCAAGCTAACTGCCGGGCGTGTCACAAGCACCTGCTTGCTCACCTGTTCTTGTTGCAGCCTCTCTGACCATCCTTAAGGAAACCTTCAGGACAACTCTTTCCATCTATTATTGGCCACATCTCTAAACCATCTTCCCAGAGGGTACAAACTCTTAATTGATTTAAGCTCAAAATAAACAGACAAAGGGGAAAGACTAACAGAAACAAGACCAACTGGTCAGACCATGAAACCAAAAGAATCTGGCACCAAAAATCAATGAAGTCCTCAAAAAGAATCCAAATCAAATTCTTAGACCATGCTGCCAATGGACAGGAGCCCGGGGAGCCCCGGACCAGAGCTGGAGTCCCTGTGGGACCCAGACTGCGAGTCAGGAGGGGCACACGAGGGCTCCGAGAGGCGTCATTACCTAGAGGAAGTAAACAGGGATCCTAGGATAAGGTCCGATCCACACACTGAGTCAGGGCCCCAGAGTCGTGGGGGGAAATGCATCAGACCGTTAGGGAGGTGATTTCACTCAGGCCGCAGCAACAAGAAAGTTCGCTGGTGAGGAATGTCCGCACGGAAAGGACAGAGCTTGGGTTTTTCTAGAGGCAGGTAGACAAGGGGTCCTGAGGAAGAGTGGAAGTGTCTTGCATGTGTGAGGGCAAAGTGGTCTTTGAGAGTTAGCCATTCCTTGGAGCCCAGAAGGAAAGGATTTCTCGACTGTCAGTGCTTGTCTGGAGCACGAGGCTCAAATACATCTTGTCAGCCTGTCTGGATGCTCCAGGTGTCTGGCTGTGTGCTTGTGTTTGCAGGGTTGAGCAGGACTCACGCCTGTGTTTCCAGCAGAGTGTATTTGCGTGCCTGTGCACGTGCGTGTGTGTTAGCGTGAGGGACTGCCTCAGCATTCAGTGGGGCCTGGTGGCCTATTTGCGGCTCAGGCCCTCCCTCTGCCGGTTTCTGTTGGCTGTAGGGGGTGTGTGTTTCTCGGTGTGTCTGTCTCTATGTTTGCCTGTGGCAAGTGCCGTGTGTGTGTTTAGCAGGCACATGTCTCACAGTTTCTGTGAATGCGATGGACTGTGTGTGTGTCGCAGTTTGTGTCACCGTGTTTCTGCGTGTCCTGTGGCGTGTGTGTTTGTGTCTTAGCGTGCGTCCATCCGGGCGTCTCCGGTGGAGGGGGAGTGACTACAGAAGGTGGGTCTCTCGGTGCCTCCTTGGGTCTGACGGTCTGTGTGTTATAAGGTGTGGGTCTCTCTGGAGGCTTCTGGAATGGGTGGTGCGTGTCTTGTGGTTTCTTTGTGGCCCATGACGCACGTGCAGGCCGCGGTGAGCACCCGCCTCAGTGTTCCTGTGCCTGGTGGCGTATTTTTTTGTGGAACAGTCTGTTTCCGCTTCTGCGAAGTGGCTGGATTTTGTGTGCGTGACTTCCGGGGTGAGTGCGCTTCCCTGTCGCCCTGTGGGCCGGCGGTGCGTGTGTGTTTGCTGCAGTGCGTGTGTCTCCCCCGGTGTTTCAGGGACTCGTTCGGTATGTGTGTGCAGTGGTGCTACAGACGCTTCTGCCTCCACGTCTTGGGGTGTGTTGTGTTGGAGAGACCGTGTCTCTTCCTGTCAGTGTGTGTGTGTGTGTGTGTGTGTGTGTGTGTACTGGCACATGAATATTTCTTCGGGTCTGGTTGTGTGTGGGTGTATGTTACAGTGTGTGTGGCAGTGTACACGTGTGTAGCTCTGAGGTGTGCGTGGAGCTGTGTGTGACGTGTATGGCAGGATGCGTGTGGTGGGACAATGGTCTCTGTGGCTCTGCGTGTGCGGCGGCGCGCGTGGAGCTCTGTCTGTGATGTGAGCTGCGTCCCCAGTTGAAACCCAGCCTGGCTCAGGCCTTTTCCAGACCCACATTCCTCCCGCTCCTTTGTGCTCTGTGCTACAAAAAATATTTGCGTTTTCCACGACTCATAATTTTTCCTCCTCAATCGCTACCAGATGTGGGTCCTGTGGTCCCCGTCCCCATGGCAACAGCGGTTCCAGCCGCCGCGGTTCCCTTCTGTGGCGCCTTCCCTGGAAGCTGGCACTGCTGCAGGCCCGAGGGGGTGGGGAGGAAGCGGGTGTCAGGCAGGGGGTGGCTGAGGGGTCCTGGCAGCTCCCTCTCCTGGCGGGCGGCTACCCGGCTCATCCTGGGGGGTTTCTTGGCCTGGTTCCTGCCAGGCCTCCAGGCCACCGTCCAGCCCACAGTGGGGGCAGGCAGCAGAGGCTGGCTGCTGGAAGTACGGGATGTGCCCCTGCTCTGTGAGGCACTCACACAAAGGGGCTCCTGAAGGTCGGGGTCTTGGACACCTGGAGGGGTCCCAGGGCGGAGGGAGGAGGGGCCCCAGAAAAGCCTGGTCTGTGTGACCACGCCGGTAGCCCCACACCACGCTGACTCGGACTGCGGGGAGAGGGAGGGCTGGTGAGGTTTGGGGATCAGGGAGTGGTGATGTGGGCCTCGCTGTGTGGGGGGGAGGGGTGCGGGGCAGGCCTGAACCACTGCGCCGCCCTCCCCACCATCCTCAGTCATTATCCTGCCCTTGCTGGGTCCAGCTGGGCATCTGGCCCTCCTGACCAACTCTGAGCCTGTGTTCTCAACCCCAGCAGCCAGCATGGCCCGGTGCCCGAATACATCAGAGGCGGCCAGCCACAGGGCCATGGCTGGGAGGGTGCCCGGCTGGCCAGAGGGAAGCCTGCATTCCACGTGCTGCCCGACCAGGCCGAATGCCGGGACTATGTCCATGCAAGCCACATCAGATGTCCCGCCCATGGCATGAGGCCATCTCCGCTCAGGTGGCTGGGCCCCTATACGGGTCACTAAAGTTGACCTCAATGTGGTACCTGGCCAGAGGGCAGGAGACTTGCCAGGTGAGGTCCCAGAGCTGCCAGCAATCGTCAGAACTCATGCCACACACTGGGGGCTGCAGGGTGGGGCTGGGGAGAAGACTGGAGAATCTTGGCAGAATCTCCTGATCAAAAGAGCTTGGGCATCAAGATGGAAAGTGACCTGCTGGGCAGAGGCAGGGGGGATGGGAGGAGCCAAAATGGACAAAGGCCAGTGGGTGCCATAGAAAGGGAAGGGGTCTGTGCCCAAGGAAGGTCACCTGAGAGGCCTGCTTGAGGGCCAGAAGCAGTGAAGACATTGTGGGGGCTGGGGGGCAAATGGTCACAAAATGGAAGGCTGGGCCAGAGCGAGGACTGCCTGCGAGGCCAGCCAGGGCTCTGGGCCAGGCACGCTCCCTTCCCTCTCCCCCACCTCCCTCAGCCTGGTGGGGAGGGTGGGTGAGAGTTTCCGGCTGAGGACAAGGAGCCCATTGAGGCAGACAGCAGGGCTCTGTGCAGGGCCAGACCATCTTGTTTGTGCCTGGTGAGGCCCTGCTGGAGCTGTGCCTGTGGCCCAGTGCCCCTGGCCCCAGCCTCTGACCTGCCCCAGCCACACCAAACAGCTCCGAGCCCCCACGTGTAACAGCAGTGGCCACCGGGAGCAGCATAGGTCAGAAGCAGCCCCGCGCACAAGCTCCCTGTAGCCGAGGGATTCCACACTACCTGTTCTGACCCATCCTTCACCCCAGGCTGCTAGTCAAGAATGGAGTGGTCCAAGGTGCGTGCCCAACAAACTTGATAAATGATGCGCGGATGGACGCAACCCAGATTCGGCTTGGCCCTGGGAGACCCACACCTGGGCTTCCAGGTTCTGCTTAGGTAGAGGAGTCACGTGGGTGGGTGCAGGCTAGAAAAGGACGCAAGAATTCTCTAAGTATCCTTGAAGGAGGAAGGGCAGATAGGAAGCAGGCAAAGCACAGGAGAAAAAAAAGGCACTTTATTAAGAAAGCTTTGGCCAAGCCCCTGCCGGGAGGAGCCCATCCTGGGGCACCCGGATGGGGTGGGAGCAGCCCTGCCGGGGGCCTATAAATACATCTCCTCGGGCCACTGGAGTCGCCCTTCGGATTCCCGCGGCATGTGGGGTGGTGGGAGGCCATCAAAACCAGCTCGACAGCTGAGGGGCCAGGGCTAGGGAGGCTGGGGCTGGGGCCACAGGGAGGGGACGTGAGGGGCCAGGCCGGGACCCGGGGACGCTGAGCCCGTTGAGGAGCAGAGACCAGCTCTCCTCCCCAGGCTCCAGATAACCAGATGCTCGGAGGCCTGGCCAGGGAAGTAGCCCTCGGCTACGGTCAAGGAAAGAGGCCTCCGGCCAGAGGCGCCAGGCCCTGGCCAATGAGAGGCAGCCGAGACAGAAGTGCTTCTGGCCTCAACCAATGAGAACGTAGCCCCAGCCGAGTACACTCTGGGCCAGTAAGAGGTGGTCTCTAGGCCGAACCCTCCTGTCTTCGGCCTTTGAGGCCCTGACTGGTCGGAGCCGTCGGCCAATGGGAAGGGAATCGCCAGCTAAGCGCCTGTCAGGCCTCGACCAATGGAATGGGGCCTTCCCGCACGAGAGCCGTGCTCCAATCAAGGAGCTGCCGCTGGAGCCTGAGCCAATGAGACCCAGCCTCCCGCCTGGCTGCTCCTGGCCGAAGCTCCCGGAGGCCGCAGAACCGGGGCCGCCGCGGGGCACGCCGGGCAGGCGCGGAACGTGGGGTGGCAAGCAGCGCTTCTAAGCCTGGGGAATCTGCGGGCACGGCCGGGCTGCCACCTGCTACAGAGTGGGCGCACCCGCCCTGCCCAGGTCGCCCGCCGCTTCCCGGCTCTTCTTGCGTGGCGGCTTCTGGATGGGGGTCTTCTTCCTGGGGGTGTCGGGCGCGGGCGCTGCGGCTGCCGCCTTCTCAAGCCCCGGGGCCTCTGGCGCGGGGGACGCGCGGGCAGGCGAGGCGGGCAGCACCGAGCGCTTGGCCTTCTGCGGCGGTGCCGGCTTCTCACGGGGGCCCTGGGCGCCCGGAGCCCCTTCGGCGCGGCCCAGGCTGCGAGTCTTGTCGCGCAGCTCCGCGGCCAGCATGGAGGCGACCTCGGGCGCCCCGCGCGGGGGACCGCCAGCGTCCGTGGGCTCCAAGAGGCCAGGGCCTCGGCCCCGCGCCCGAGCCCTAGGCGGCGAGGGGGAGGCGAGGGCTGGCCCCTCCTCCGCCAGCCCGGGGGGCCGAGGCGTCGGGTCGCGGGCCCGGGGACTGCTGGGCTCATCGGGCCGCGCCGACGTGTCGCTGGGCGTCCGTTTCCTCTTGGTGGGGCTGGGCGCGGCCTCGGGTCCCGAGAGTGGCGGCGAGGGCGCACGGGCGGCGGTGGCGGCGCCGTGCTTGCCGTGGATCCAGGACACCTTGGGCTTGGTGGCAGGGTCGGGTGGAGGTGGCTTCCTGCGCTCGGGAGATGGCGAAAGCGACAGGCCTCCAGCCTCGCCCCGGGCCCGGGCCGGCCGGGCCTCGCGCCGGGCTACGCGCGCATACAGCGCCCCGCCTGGCCCCTCCACGCTCGACGCCGACCGCTCGCTGTCAGAGGACGCGGGGAGGGGCGTCGCCTCCTCTGCGGACGCCAGCTTGGTCACCGGCGCGGGGGATGATGCCAGCGCCTCCGAAGGGGCGGTTGGGGGCTCTGCGTCCCGGCTCCGGCTCTCCGTTGCGGCCTCTGACAAGGGAAGAGCTGGCCGTCACGCCCTCCACAGAGAGCTCAGCCATCCAGCCTTCAGGCAAAAACCCTGCCTTTCCTCCTGTTCCCCGCCCCAGCTGATGCTCAGTCGCCCTGGTATCCAGACATGCCTGGCGAAATCATAGTACCAACCAGAAACTTAATTCCGAGACCCAGGGTGTGGGGCCGGTTCTGGGGGCTGAAGGGTAGTTCCTGAGGCTGAAGCCCTAACCTGGACCTGTCCTTGCTTCCCTTCCCACCACATCCCCAACCTGGGGGAGAAGGTTGGGGGGGGAGGTTGAGTCACACCATCAAATATGATCCTGGAGCACCTGCAAGGTGATTCATTATTCCTCATGAAGAGATAAGGCTTCTAAGGCTCAGAGAGGTTAGTCGCCTGACCAAGGTCACCCAGGGGGGATAGTCAGGAAAGAAGAGAGGCCAAGGCCACAGCCAGTCAAGCTCCTTCCAGATGTCTGTGGGCCAGAGCTTCCGGCAAAAGTGTGCCCTCATATACCACAGACCCCTGCTCCTATCTCCTCTGCCATCTTCTACCCGGGCCCAGAACCTTCTCTATTAATGATCTCTTAAAGAAGTGAATATGGGCCATGGCTAGAGACAGAAGAGCTGACCCACCTCCCCAGACCCTACCCCAGTCCAGTGCTGAGCAGCACAGAATGCCATTCTGCAGCCTTAGCTCTGTGTCCAACCCCTAGTCAGGAGCATCACCATGCCCTTCCGGGGCTGCCGGTCCCTCAGAGCACAGAAACCTTTTCAGCTGGAACATATCACTGGGCTGGAGGGAGGCCCAGGCAGAGCACTACTCACCCTCATGGGGTACGCAGTACACAGGGCCTTCATCAGTGGTGTCAAAGGAAGAGAAGGAGGCGCGGGAGGACCACGATGGAGAAGGCTGCTCCAGCCCTGAGGGTGGCTCCAGGAAGCTGCAGTTGAGTGTGTTATCCAGGTCGTGATGGGCCACTGGGGAAGGAGGGAGGCACAGCTGCCAGGGGCCCTGCCCTATCCCAGCCTGTGCCTTCACTAGCCCTCCTGCAACAAATGACAGTAGCCAAGAACAGCCCTTCCCTAAGACTGTGGGTGGAGCAGACAGTTCAACAGGCAGAGTGACACTGAATCTAGACAGGTGAATGGGTAGACGTGAACTAGTAAAAAGAGGTAAGGGGGAACAATGTAGTCAAAGGTGCAAGGTTTGTGTGTGCAGCTGGGGAGCTGAACATGGATGGGCTGAAGTGTTGGAAAGAGAGGGCTGGAGAGAACACCTGGCTGGGACAGGCCATTAGGGCCTTCAAGCCATGGTTGGACCCTGACCTGTAGGACCCAGAAAGACTTGAGGCATTTTCTTTTTCAGCTCAAATAACGGTGGTGAGGCCACCCTTTGGCTCAGCCCATCTCAGCAGACTGACCACCCCCCCCCCCAGGCCCAGCCCCAACAAATGGCTCAGAGGCTGGCGGGCCTGTCTGCCTTTCACAGTTGGGATGTGAGGTCCAGCCCCCCACACCTGTATCCATAGATGGCACTCTGCTGAGCGGGCCAAGGGGTTTTCTCAGCTGTCTCCATCTGTACCTCCCTTCCTCTTCAGAAACAAGTAGCAAAAAGGGAGTCCATTCCTGGTGTGTCAGTGCAGACAGAGGGAGAGAAGCACCTCCCTCCCACGTGGAGTCCTGACAAAGGGTTGGGGAGCCACAGGGACCAGCCTGCCCACTTTCCAGGAAGGACCCAGAGTACTACAGGGGATCCAGGCGGGCGGGGTGGAGGTGCTCCCTGTGACAGGGCATTTCCATGCACAGGTTTCCCCCTCCCCTGCCCCGTTCACCTGCAGCTACTCACCAGGACTTACAGTGCACTGCTACAGATTGTGGGGGTCCTGCCCCCCGGCATGTCCACACACTCCAGATGCAATCACTCCCCCTCACCGAGACAGGACCCAACCCCCCCCCCACATTTGCCTGCACACCAAGGACTCCTTCCTTCCTCCCCGAGCTCGCCTCCATCAAGCAGACCCTCTTCCATCCCTCCCCAACCCACCCACATCAACACTCAAGGCGCGGATTTCCTACACCGACTCCTTCACACCCATTTCCCAGCAGTCTCCTATTTCGGGAAGTGTTCCCCCAAAGACCCCGGGCGGATATCCTTACCTACAACCTTCGGCAGCTTCTGCCTGCGGAGCGGGATCCGGGGCAGCTTCATGCTGATGCGGCTGAAGCGCCCGCACAGTCGCTGCGGCGACTTCTTCCTCCCGAGTGTGAGCTCCCTGCGGGGGCGGGGCCTGAGTAAAGGGGTGGGGCGGGGCCTAGATGGGACAGTTTGATCTCTGCTGGAGCCCAGACACAGGAAGGGCGGGGCCTGAGCTAAAGATAGGCAGTGCCACACCCGGGGCGGAGCAGGGGCTTTGGCCGCGGCCCGGGGAAGGGCGCGCAGTGCCACCGACAGGGTGCTTCCTGAACCCAAGACAGCGGGACAGCGTCGGGCCTCACCGGCGCGCCGGGTCCTTGCCGCGGCAGGCGCAGCAGCAGCCAAGCAGCGAGAGCAGCAGGCCGAGGAGCAGGGCAAGCAACGCGCCCGCGCCCATCACGCCCTTGCGCTGGTTGGTCTCTGTATGGGAGGGCACCGGGAGGTCAGCGCGGGTGCCGGCACCTCGTGCGTCCCCCTCAATAGGATGTCCCCCTCAACCACTCACCCAGGCGGCAGGCACCAGTGACCGGGTCGCACGAGTCCTCGTGGCAACTGCAGGCCTGGGCGCAGTCCACGCCATGGAGCCCAGGCGGACACGTCAGGTTACAGCTACGGGGACACGGGGTCAGGGAGGGCCACGGCAGCCCCACCCCACTCCCCCGTGATGCCTCCCGCCCTCGTCCCTGCCGCGCACCAGCCCGGGTCCCAGAGCCGGGTTCTCTAGCTCCATTCTCGGGTTTGATGCCCACCACCACTGCCAGCCACATACTGAACGATCAGTATTTTGGAAATGATGTGTTGCACAATCAGCCGGTGGGATCTGGGAGACAGGGCCTGTGGTAACTCAGACTCCGTGTCCACTTCTGGGGCTGACTCTTGGGTGGGTGGGAAGAGGGGCTGCCAGACCAGACCCTTGGCTCTAAGTGGAGGTCTCTGCTCTCTCTGCACCAGCTTGGGGTCACCTCAGCCGTGCGGTCCTCAGAAGCCCACTGACCACAGGCTGAACTTGTTGCCAATCCCTTCTCTTGAGCACCGGCCGCGCACCAGAGCAGGAAACGCCCCGAAGAGCCTGACAGGACTCCCTGCGGTAAGCAGACCTAGGCTGAAGGGCCTAGTCTAGTCGGGTCTCATCTAGTCGGTCACCATAGCAGCACCGGGGGTCTGGCTGGAGCCCTGTGACGAGTACTATCCCCTAACCCCCTTCGGGTCCCTGGGCACTCACTGGGGCCCATGGACGCCGGGGCTGCACAGGCAACGTCCCGACTGGAAGTCGCAGTGGCCGCTGCCGCAATCGGCGCACACGAATGCACAGTCCTCGCCGTAAGTGCCATTGCTGCACTTGGTCTCGCACCTCGGAACGCGGGGAGAGACAGTCACTGGGAATGGGAGCAAATGAACCGAAACCCCACAGTGCGCTCCGCGGAGAGCATTAGGGGAATGGCGGGGCTGGGGGCTGCATGCCTGGGATATATTCGGCCTTGGGCTGCTTGCTCACCGGTCGCCGATCCAGCCCGCGTTGCAGCGCGTACACTTGCCGGTGACGTGGTTGCAGGCATGCCCGTCGCGGCATGGCGGGCAGCGGTGGCCGCAGCCCTCGCCATAGAAGCCGGTGGCGCATGGCTGGTCACACTTGGTGCCGTTCCAGCCGGGCTCGCATGTCAGGCAGCGGCCCTCGGCCACCGTGCAAGGCTGCTGGCCCTTGCACTGGCCGCATCTGGGGAAGGGGCGGGAGGCTAGGCGGGGCCCAGAGCCACCTCGCCCCAGTCCCCTTCGGCGCTCCGCCCCCCTCCTCCCCTCCCCAGCCCGGGGCCCGCGCTTACCGGCGGCGGCAGCCCAGGCCGTAGAAGCCGGCAGGGCACGGCTCCCGGCAGTACTTGCCGCGGTAGCCGGGCTCGCAGGCGCACGTGCCGTCCACAGGGTGGCAGCGGCCGCGAAAGCACTGGCAGTAGCGCTCGCAGCGCGCGCCGAATGTGCGCTCGCGGCACTGGCAGCGACCGCTCTGTTGCTCGCAAGGCGACGTGTTGCAGGCACACTGATTGTTGCAGCTGCGGCCCCACCAGCCTGCGTGGCACAGGCACGCGCCCGTCTGTGGGTCGCAGCGCGACGTGGCGCTGCAGTAGCACGCGCTGGCGCACTGCGCGCCCCACCAGCCAGGCTCGCAGCGACACGCGCCGCTCCGCGGGTGGCACACGCCGTGCTGGCACTGACACGCATGCTCGCAGCGTGCGCCCCAGCGCCGCGCGTGACAGGTACACTGGCCTGTCACATCCTCGCACTGCCCATGCGGGTGACAGATACACAGCTCCTTGCAGTCGGGGCCCCAAAACTGGCGCGGGCACTCTGCAGGGGCGGACAGAGAGGGTGTGAGGCCAGGGTGCTCTCGCAGGAGCCGGGATCCAGCCAGAACCTATCCGCGTCCCGCCCTCCGCCTTTGGGGACCCTCCCCCATGCCGGATCCCTTTCCGGGTCAGACCCTTCCCCACTCACAGGCCCTGCCCCACTGCCCAGCGCCCACCCGGATCCTCGCTCACTGGTGTCGCAGTTGGCACCGAAGTAGCCATGGCGGCAGCGGCACTCGCCCGGCCGCACGCACACCTCATTCTCCGAACACGTGGAGTTGCCTTCGCACACCGCTGCGGGCAAAACGGATCTGAGCTGCCGCGTGGGCTGCCCCCCCCCCACTATCCCCTCCTCCCCTCCTGCCCCCAGCCCCTGCCCAGGCTCCCAGGGTGCCCCACTCACCGACCCCACACTCGTCCCCCTGCTGCTTCCAGCCGGCGCAGCACGTGGGCTCCTGGGAGCTGCAGGCAGAGAAAGGACTCCTGAGCCTGAGCCCCAACCCCTGTCCTTGCTAGGGCTCCCCAGCAACCTCCACCCTGCCCTCAGGAGGTGATTATGGAGGCCTTGCCATATGCCAGGCACTGCTGTAGGTTCAGGTTTCCAGCAAATAAGACACACACTCCAGCCCTTCCCAGACACTGGGAAGCAGCAGCGGGCAGACTACCAAAAGATCTACCTCCAAGAATTTCTCAGTCCCTTCTATAAAGTGTCTTCCCCGCTCTCCCCATTTCGACTCACTCCTCTGTGATCTGTCCTGCACCCCCAAGCCCGAGAAAAGAACACCAGGTATTCCAGAAGGGGCTGGTGAGAGGTCCTTGAGTTTCCAGGACCTGCTTAAAGCGACATCGCTGGAGGTGGGGGTCCAGCCGGATGGGTGTCAGTATCTAGCTGTGACCTGGACAGCTGGGGCTGGCAGGGCTGACGGGCACACCTGGATACCCAGTTGGCAGATGTGCAACTTCTGAGCGAGGTGAGTGTGGACACAGCGGGGTGTCCACTCGGTGGAGGGACAGGGCACATATAGGGAGTCCTCCAAGTCAGCAGGGAAAGCAAAACAGTGAGGGCTCCAGAGCACCAGGGCAAGACTTAGAATGGAGGGCGGAGGGGCGCCTGGGTGGCTTAGTCGGTTAAGCGTCCGACTTTCGCTTAGGTCACCATCTCGCGGTTCGTGGGTTCGAGCCCCGCGTCGGGCTCTGTGCTGACTGCCAGCTCAGAGCCTGGAGCCTGTTTCAGTCTGTGACTCCCTCTCTCTCTGACCCTCCCCTGCTCACGCTGTCTCTCTCTCTCTCTCTCCTAGAAATAAATAAAACATTAAAAAAAAAAAAAGAATGGAGGGCGGAGATATTAAAGCATCTACTTATGTGTTTTAAACATCTTATTGTAATTTTATTTGGTTTTACAAGGTACACGACGTGACCTCAGTAGGAGGTAAATAACAGAACTGTTGCATTTCAGGGTAGTATGGCCTCCAAAACCCGGGGCACAAAGATTTAGAGGCCCTGCCAGAGTGAAAGGTACCATTGGAGAGGGTGAGTGTGGGTTCACAGGGGGTATGTCCACATGTGGGGAACAAAGGAGCCCGAGAAGAAGGAACAGACACTCAGGCTGCAGGTTTGTGGGTCCCAGCAGACCTAGAACTTCACCCAGATCTGAAGTCACAGAGCAGCCATTCCTACTTGAGAAGAGGATTATACCCCTTCGGGACTATGATCTAGAACCAGGATGTAGTATTGGGAGGCAGTTGGGAGGAGATGTGAGACCCTAGTGGGTGGGACCAGCTGGGAAGGGAAAGACTGCAGGTGCTCTTATTGTGCCCCTCAAAAATGCCCCCAGCCCTTCCCCAGCAGAGAACAATACCACACCCATGAAGGTCCCCTGCCCCACCCTAACGGTTTGATTCTCCCTCAGTCCAAAGATGAGGGGCCTTGGGAACAGGAACCATAAAATTCCAACCTGCAAGGAATGGGCCCGGTTTACTTTCCTCAAATGAAACTGGAAACCAGACCCAGGAACACAAAGCAGTCCTGGCTTTTCCGCACCCCTCACCATTGTTTCCACCCACCCAGCCGGTGCACAGGACTCGTACGTGCCCATCTGCAGGTAGAGCCAGGTCTGCCAGCCTATCACCCTCCTGCCCTTTCTGCCAGTTCTGAGCCCAGGTTTCTAGGTGGAGAGCCTCCGTAGGTGTCCCTTGCACAGGCGGCCTTGCCAGATGGCCGGCTGGGCTGGCCCTGGAGGCACTGACCGCTTTCTGCCCTGGCCACACGGCTATGTGGCTATGAGTCTGGTTTTAGGGCCATACGAAGCTGGATTTGATGCCTGTGTGACTTTGGGCACAGAACTCTGACCTTCAGACTTCTCCTTTGTAGAATGGTGCCCATGGATCTGGCTGGAGTATTAATAAAGCATGAACTAAGAGCTCAGCCAAGGCTTTGGTCTGCTCTCCAGCCTATGCTGTGCAGGCTCCAGGAAGCACCTGAGTTCACCTGGTCCCACCCCCACCCCCAGCATGGCCGGCACCCAGCCCCCACTGCAGCAGAGCTAACACTGCCTACCCCCAGCAAGGAGGAAGACCCATGGGGGTTAGCAAGAACATGAGAAGGAGCCTGTGGGACAGCTGCCTTTCCTTCTGGGAGGGCTGGCAGACAAGGCTGCCCTGGGGTGGCAAGCCCAGCCTCTCAAGAACTTAACAAAACTGAGACGAGGAGAAAAATGGCCTGGTGCAGGGGACTGTTCCCACACTCAAGCTGTAAGTTGGTGAGACCCTCCAGAGCCAGGCCGCAGGTCGGGCCAGGCCCCTTAGCAAGCACGCCTTCCTGCCTGCCTTCCTTCGGGCTGCCCCCTACACAGATCACAGTCTGCAAACAAAACTGCCATGATTCAAACAGTATGATCTTGAACCTGCAGCAAAGCACCCTGGGAGAACTCGGCTGCTTGCTCACTGTGCCAATGTCTGTCCTTATTCCCTCTCCAATCCAGCCTGGAGGCTCTTCTGCCCACCATACCACTTGGAATCCCATACTTCCCTGCTCTCCACCTGCCCCCTGGACACCCCTCCTCTGGTTTCTGTCCCCCTCCTTGGCTCTGTCCTCCCCGCTCCTCTGTCCAATCCCTCAGGAAGTTCCCCGGGGGCCCATCTAGATGAAGCACTGAAAATGCTCAGAGCCCTCCAGTGGGGCCAATCTTCCCAGACGGAACTCCTAGGCAACCCCCACCAGAATCTCCCCATCTCAGGTAGCTCCATCCTTGCAGTTTGGGGGGCTGAAACCCCAGATCACCTGCTCTGTGGTGACTGAGACTCCGCTCACAGCACACACCTGATTCATGGGGAAACATGCTGCTCTACCTTCCAAACTGGTTGGAAGATGGGATGAGCCACTTCTCCCTGCTCTGCCCAAGCCTTGTGAGAGCCACTCTCACTCTCCCTGCTTACTCCTGACTTCCTAACTGGTTCTCCCTTTTACCCTCCTAAGCCCGGTTCATCTGCCACCTGGCAGCTGAACATGGTCGGATCCCACCCCTCCTGTGTGTAAAGCCCCTGGGGGTTCCCATGGCCCTCGCTGGAAAAAGACTCGCTGTAGCCAGCCCATCCTCCATCCTCATTCTTTGGCCTCTCTTCCACCATCCCCCTCCCGGGCTCTGCCCAGTCCCCATGGCTCTTTTCAGTGCTTCCATCAAGCCCTTTGCACTTAGAGCCTTGCCCCAGGCACCGCAGCACTCCACCTCCAGACCTCTGACCACTCATCTCCTCCCAGTAGGTCTCCCCAGATCACCCTAAAGAATATAGCGGTCCCCAACTGAATACCTCCTACCCAACACTTGCTAGATGTCAGATGACTCTCTGTAAGTCTCCTCCACTGTGAGGACAGTGACATCTGTCCTGGCGGCTGTATCACTACACCAATCACAGTAAGTGCATGAGATTTTACAGGCTGCCCATCCGCTCCCCTCTTCAGGTCCTCCAGCCTCTGGGGAAAAATTACTGCGTGGGTAACAGCCTTGTAAGGGAAATGAAAGAGAAGGCCCAGACCCTGGGTGGACAGTGCCTAGAGTGGCCGTCCTTCCCATTAACCAGCTCCACACGAAATCACATTCTTCCCCTCTCCAGCCCATGAGACCACCAACCCCTCTTGACACGGTCAGAGTCAGAGAGCTTAAGCAATTTGTCCCCAGTCCACACAGGTGGGGAGAGGTGGCATCAGGATCCAAAACCCAAATCCGGGCTCTGGGCTACTGAAACAGGCCGCCTCATGGGGAGGTGTCCAGGCAACGGGACATAGGGAGCGAAAGGCTCAGGCTCCCGACCGCTTGACCCTGCCATCGGATCCCCCAGCACGGAGCCCCATCGGGGAAGAAGGAGTGACGCGGAGAGACAGGGCCGGCAGCGATCGCGCCCTCCCCCTCTCCAGGCACGGCCCCGCCCGCCGCTGCCACTGCATTCCTGGGGCCGGGGAGGCCCGGGAGGCGGCGGCGGCGTCGATGTGAAGCAGATGGCGGGCCAGGCCGGCCCCCGCCCCGGAGGCGGGGCTCGCAGTGGGGAGGGGTCTGCGCGCCGCGGGATCCGAGCTCGGAAACCCCGCGCGGCCCCCTAGCAGCCCCTTGTCTGCGGCGACTGCCAAGCCCCCGGACGCGGCCTCCCACAGCCCTTCGGCTCAGAGCGCCCCGACGGGACGCAGACCGGAGTCCTGAGGCCGCTTCTCCAGCTTCCCGCCCGCGCGGCGCCCCCCAACTTGCGCCAAATCACCCCCGTACGCCAGCTCCTCGGTCCAGAGCGAAGATGTTCTTGACCTCGCTGTGGCCTCTGACCAGCCAACCAAGTCCTCCGACCCCCGCACCCACTCCTAACGTCTGTCCTCTGCTCTTTTCCCTCCGCGCAAGATCTTCGGCCCCCCGCTCTTACGCGGGGCCTGCCCACTGCCAGTCCCACGCTGGCTTCCCCAACAGACACCTCGTGGCGTCTCAAGCCTGCGCGGCCCCTCCGCGCACCCAGTATCTCCACCAGGAATTCCACATCTTTCCGACCCTGATGCACGTCACTGCTTTTTTGAATCCCGCTTCTGGTCCACTCTGAGCGCAGGCTCCTCAGTGCCCAGCTCCATCACCATCCTCATCCCACCTACGCCTGCACCTAAGACACAAATCTGCCCTTTCGAGTCCCACCAGCCTCAAGATTCGCCGGCTCCCACCTCTCAGGAGCGCTGCTCCATCTCCACTCGACCCTCGCCCTCCCTCCCGCCTCGAGCCACACTCGTGCCCGGGTCCTTTGCACTTTGCAGATACTCTTCCATCTGACTGGAATGCCCTTCACCGACTTCTCCCTATGGCCTTCACAACCCGGCCCAAGGGCTCCTTTTTCAAGGTTTGAAATCTCAGACACCGTTGGTCACCCCTCGGGGCGCCTACTGCACTCCGTTCTCCCCTCGGCTGACTTCTCATCTGGGGTATCCTCGGATGCACCGTCGTGGCCCGGTGCCCAGACTCGGCCTGGAGAGGAGTCTGCGCCGGCGAAGGCGGCGAAAGGGCTAGAGCGTTTAGCTTAGGAAGGTCCCGGGCGCCCCCTTCCCTTGGCCCCTAACGTCCCCCTCGACCCCCTCCCCCAGCCAGGCCGGGCTCCTACCCGGGAGCGCGGCACACGTTGCGGCCGCGCGGGTTCAGCTCCTGGGACGCCGCGGGGCCGGGCAGCAGCCAGAGCAGCAGCAGCAGCAGCGGGGGCAGCAGCGGCGACGGCGGCCCCCCGGCTCCCCGGCGCCGCGCCGGCCCGGCCCCCCGGGGCCCTGCGCCCTCCATGCGGCGCGGGGCAGGCGCGGGGCGGGCGCGGGCGCGGGTGCGGCCGCAGCGAGAGCGGCCGGAAGCGGAGTGCGCGGCCGGGCGGGGGGCGGCAGGAGGGGCGCCGGGCCGGGCAGGAAATTCCACATCGGCTCCCTGATCCCGGGCCAGCCGCGGCCGGCCAGGCGGCAGCGCCCGCCCCGCGCGCCAGACCCCACCCTCCGGCCGCGCCACCGCCCCTCCGCGCGGCCCCCGCCCCCACGCGGCCGCTCGCAAACTTGGGGGCGAACTTGGAGGAGGCCCGAGGAGCTTTGAAAGTGGGAGGGGCCTGGGAGGGGGGTGAGCTCCCAAGGAATTCCCTGTCCGCTAGCCTTTCTGCTCCCTCTCCAACCACCCAGCCCCTCTCCAACCACCCACCAGAGAAACTGCCCTTGCGCGGTCAATGCGCGGCCAGGCCCGGGGTGGGAAAGGGAGTGAGGGACTAAGATGCGACTCACGGAAACTCCCTCGGCTCCCAGGACCTCGGAACCGGCGGGGATAGGGCAGCCCAAAGACTGCTGGGGTCAAGGCCGCAAGCCGGCCTCTGCTCCCCGAGGCAAAAGAGCTGGGCTGTTCTGTGGGCTCTTTCTGCGCACTTCGGTGCAAAGCCTGCAGAGGACACCCGAACAGGATGCTTGAGGCCTACGGGTAGACTTGGTCTGGCCTTGAGGCCTGGGCAACGGGTGTCTTCGTAGGTACGGACTGCACACATGCCACATATGCCGGGAAGGTAGTAGCATGGCCCAGCAGTGGGCTCGGATAGAAGGTGTAGGTAAATGCAGGTGGGGACAAAGGCAGAGGGAGGAGATGGGAGTATTCCAGGACTGAGACCCTGCAATCACGTCCCGGGGGTGAAAGGGGAGCCTGGTTGAGGACTTCTAGTTGAGAAGGCTATTGGATCACCAGCAGAAAAGTCCAAAAGATGGAATCAAGGGTGGAGGCCTGGGGGCTCCTGCATCAGAAAGAGTGGGGTGACAGCATAGAACAGAGCAGGGGCAACAGGGGCAGTTGGGTGGAGGGGGTGAGAGTTGAGAGGAACAGGACCTAGGGGGACAGGGAGGAAGAGGAAATCTGGGCCTGGGAAGCAGAGAGGTGGCCAGTGCTATGGGGCACAGACCCAGTCCCAGGGTGCATGGAACAGGAAAGGTGGACAGGCCTGGGGGTGGAACAAAGGGGGCGGGGATATCCAGGTCCCAGCAAAAAGATGAGCTTGTCTTTTGCAGACTTGGGAGCTGGTGGGAGGACCTGGGTGCAGGAGGGGGCACCTGACTTCTCTTGAACAGCAGGCTGAATACAGGCTCCTTGAGGAGGAGGGAGAGGCAGTGTCCTTCCTCACTTATGTGGAGGTGATCAGAGTGGAAGGTGGGCTGAAGGAGGGTCTTGGAACCACGGCCACTGAAAGGCCCAAGACTGTGGTCAATACCAGGCTGGTTGGGAGGGAGACGTGTCCAGGGCAGGCCAGAGGAGGGTGGGATGGGAACAGGGTAGGGAGCTTCAGGGGTTGGGGCCCTTCCCTCAGCCTTGCTGGTGAAGGAGGGAGGCCAGAGGCAGGTGACAGCTGGGTGAACTAGAAGGGGAAGTTGCACCCCTGAGATCACAAATGCAAACACTTCTTGGGGACAAGTAAACAGGCCAGCCACTTGTGGGCAGCTCCGCCTGGGCACGGCCCTGACCTCAGCAGCGCCCTCCCAGGGCCGGGGCCCTTCCCACGGAGGCCGCGTAGCCTGCCAGCAACAGAGGCCACCAGAGGCCCGTGTGGCTGCAGGGTCTGCTCAGCAGCTTGTGGCAGCCCAGCTCCTGGCTTGAGAGGCACAGACCCCAGGGCTTCGGCACTTACCCTGGCTGGACTGAGTTCGTGGAGGACAGGCACCTCAAACTCCATCCTCTTCTTTCCCTTCCCTCGGAACTGCTTGCCACCCCCCAACTCCCACCTCTGGGAAAGGCACCAGCTGGATGATGCCCCCAATCCATGCCATCACCAGGACTTTACAAATGTCTCAAATCTCTACCCACCCATCAGTGTACTACCCAGAGTAGTCTTTCTAATCACATCTGGCTGCCCCCCACTGCCCGCAGGACTGTCCCTAGCCTCATCTCACTCAAGACCCAAGGTCCCCTACATGTGTCCCATCATGGCCACCTCCTAGTTGATGCCAAGTTCAGGTGTTGAGTGAAGGACCCATGTCTGTCCCAGCCACCACCACCCCCTATCAGGGGACAGAGAAGTGTGGGTAAATGACCATCCCTACAGCTGGCCTGGTGCCATGTGGAAGCTGTGGGTTCACAGGCACCCACAAACTAACAACCACACAAGACACACCATAGGGTCCGGAGCCCGGGCCTACCCGTTCCAGCCAGGATGGCTTCCCCAGGCGGTACTTGAGAGGGTGAGGATTTTGTAGGCAGAGAGGGAGGGGTATTGAGCTGAGTGAAGGTGTGGATGCTGGGCCTCTGAGGGCCTCCCAAGCTGGAGAGCCCGGGCTGCCTAGGTCCTGAGACAGGAAGTGCTGGGGGTGGGGGTGGATAGCCATGAACGCCTCCCCATGGGACAGTGGCGAGACTTCATTCAGGGCTTGGGTCTACCCCATCCCATGCTCCACAGGGCCTCACAGATCCTCCTCCCCCCGCCCCGCAGAGCAGAGGTCTCTTACAAAGCCGTGGCCGCACCTTGATGGCTCCGGGTGGGGAAATGGGGCCAACAAGCCTGGGACACACTGGAGGGGCGTAGGCATTTCTGGTGCTTCCCCTTCCCAGAAACTCTGGGGTCTGTAGGAAGTGCTGCCCTGGCCTGCAAGGTAGTGGCAGAGACAGGAAATGCTGGGTCTCTACTGTGAGCCCCTCAAGGAGCAAGGGAGAGGACACTGAAGAATGTGGCCATCTTGTCCCGTTGGAAGTGACCTATTAGGGTCAACACTAGGATTGCCACCCAAAGTGTAAGGGCATGAGATCATGGTGGGGTTAGGGATTGGGGGCATATTTCCGCATGGGTACCGGACCCCCAGGAGACAGCTAGGAAGATCATACATATGGTGTTGAGCGGCAGACAGCCGGTCTCCCTCCCCCACCCCAAAGTCTTTAGGATATCTGGATCCTACCCTTTTCCTCCCATCAAGTAGCACACACTGCCTCTCTGTTCTCCTCCATCCACGACAGGGATGCCAGAGGCTCTGGGCAAGGCACTGGAGTACACAGAAAGAAGACCCAATTGTCCCCATGCTCTGCCCAGGAGACTTGGGAAGTCACAGATCACCAGCAGGGTGTTGCCAGCAGGAAGGCCTGCCATTGGGAGTTTGTAAATATAGAAACTGGTGGCAGGAGGGAAGGGTGTTCAGCTGGAAGCTCGACTGTGGAAAAGCCAGGCTGGTGCTGGAAGCCCAGTCCATTTGCTGGTGGCCCAGAAAGTTCCCATTCACTGCAGCAGCATGACCCTTCAGACACTGTGCCAGGAACTCAGCCAGCTAGGGAACCTACAGGAAATGCAGCTCTCCCTTCCTATTCCGGCCACACTCAGATCCAGCAAGCCGGGGGGGCAGGGGGGTGGGGGGGGAGTCTATCTTGACTGAGCCTTCCTCCCCAGGCATGGGGTGGTTTCCTCAATATCAAGCTGGGCTTGACCTGTGAGGCCAAGAGGTTGCTAATCGAGCTGGACCAGGGTTCAAAGAGAAGAGCACCAGAGATGTTTCAGCAGGATGGGCGACCAGCTGTCAGCAGACCAGGGTCGGTTTCCCAGTAACAGCCTTGCTAGCTGTGGGTGTGCTGTGCTTCTCCCTCAGAGGGGGGCTCCTGTCCTCCCATTGCCACTCAACAAGTCTGACCCTGGGAAGCCCGGTGGGGCAGGCTTGCACAGGCTATGAAAGAAGTGCGGCCATGGCCACAGAAAAACAATTCACACCTTTTGTAAGAGGATTTATTTCATTTGTCAACAACATAGGGTCAGAAAAGCCCAGCTGTAGGGGATCTTTTTATTACTAGAACCAGTCTCGGGCAATTCTATGCATCTCTGTTCCCTCTCCAGGCCTTGGGAGCTGCAAGCTATTGCAAATAGCTCAAACCCCCGGATGCCAGGCAGGCGCCGGGCTCACTCCACCCCTTCCCTGCCCATGGGAAGGGGCGCAATATGCCTCAGACCCCTCACCTGTGAGGCCAGTCCCCAGGTCCCTTTGGAGAAGAGTGCCTTCTCAGCCCAGCAGGGACTAGAACCAGGGACTGGGGAGGCCAAGATAGCTGGTGATGCCACACCCCGTCCGAGCTGAGGAAGGGCAGGCCCAGTCACCTCCTCCAGAGAACCAGAGCCCTCTGCAAGCATTCCCCAACGTAGGGTAATTATAGCCACAGATCTGCAGAGCTCCCCAAATAACTGCTATGGGCCGGCAGGCAGGCTGGTGTGAAGGACGGGTGGCAGCAGCCGGCAAGCAGGCAGTGCCGGCAGGAAGGGTCGCCTGGGGACCCGCTGCCCTCAGAGCTCCCGCCACCTTCCCTCTGACACCAGGTGCTGGAGGCCTAGTCCTCACTTGAGTTGTCAAACTCCTCCCAGTCAGACACACTCATCACCTCGGAGGCAAAGTCCGGGTCGGCCTGGCTGCGGTCAGGGGTCCCACGAGGCGGCTCAAGGAGCAGGGAGCGGGGCAGGGTGAGCACACAGGCGGCCAGGCCCGAGATGGAGTTGTCCAGCTGCGGCCCCTCCTCCCAGCAGTCCTTCTCCACGTCGTAGATGTGCACATAGCCTGTGCGGCTGCCGCGGTTGTGCGAGCGGCCACCCAGCACGTAGATCCTGGTGTCCAGCACGGCGATACCAGGCTCACCGTGCCCAGCTGGGAGCGGGCAGACGGACGACCACTGCCCAGACGTGCAGCTGTAGCAGGCCACCTGCAAAGCCAAGGTCAGAGTAAAGCTGGACACCTGCTGGGACGGAGCTGCCAGCCCGTCCCAGGCCAGCTGGGCAGGGCGGCACTCTCAGCCAGGCCCTGGATTCGGACCAAGGC